ACTAGTCTGAGGAATTATGTCCCTAAAATGTAACACTTGTAAAGGGGGCTTCTAAATTTGTTCTAAATTTTTCATCAAATGTCCTTCCTCCTCCTCTTCCACTAAATACATACATACCAAATAGGGAGAAGTTGTCTATGCCTTCAAAATGTACTTTTTTTTTTTGAGGAAGATTAGCCCCAAGCTAACATTCGCTGCCAATCGTCCTCTTTTTGCTGAGGAAGACTGGCCCTGAGCTAACATCCGTGCCCATCTTCCTCCACTTTATATGCAGGACGCCTACCACAGCATGGCTTGCCAAGCGGTGCCTTGGCCACACCCAGGATCTGAACCGGCAAACCCTGGGCCACCAAAGCGGAACATATGAACTTAACTGCTGTGCCACCGGGCTGGTCCCAGATCAAAATGTACTTTTTAAAGGTTTTTTTTAAGCCTCTTTAGAGAAAGCTAATTAAATTAACTTGACCAGGAGAGTTTCTCCATGTCCCCAAAACTTAAAAGTCAAATTAAAACCAATGTATAAACCCATCAATGTACAGTTATTTCTAAGGTAGCCAAGGCAGGATACAATAGACACCAACAAAGCACATGCTGGGATCCAAACATGGGCTCCACGGGAATAGTCTGGTGGACACCGTTAAGACATAACACCCAAGAAACCAGGATTGAAAACATTAGGTAGATACCAGACAGCTGAGGAGAGGTAAAGTCAAACACTGAAAACATATCAACTCAGGTAGGAAAATCAGATAAGGCAGGGATGGGTCAAAGGGAGGATCGAAACAGGTCAGTGTGGATGATAACAGCAAGCAGTAACCAAGCAACCAGGTGAACCTGTGCACTATTTCTCCAAGCTTTGCTGTACTTGCTTGCTGGCAAGGGTACTAGGTGCTGGAGTCACAAGTTAATTGTTATGAAAAGAAAATCAAAGGGCTGCAGCTAGATTCTGCCCTTGATTAACTTCAGGGCATAGATACTGGAATTAGCTCAAGGATGCTGGGTGCTGCTTCACCTATTTCTCCAAGAAGCTTTTTTGTCAATCCCAAAGACTATGAAGGATGATTCCAGTTTGATTGTAGATCTTGAAATAGATGTCTAAGGAAGTCTTGATAATCTAACCCTTTTATAAAATGTAATGCAAATACTTTTCCAATTCTCTGTGAGGCAAGCGGCCAACTTCCTAACAAGTTTGATCAGCAAATGGGATTCTGAAAGAACACACTCCATCCACTCCTTCTGCACAAACTTCTCAAAGCGAGAAGGGGAGATGTGAGCCTCCTGCTCACCCACTCTGCACCATGAGACCCTCTGCTCCCTATCCAGCTGAAGAAAGTGGACACGGCCTAAATCCATCCCCAATTTGTTCTGGATCCCTTTGTCTTCTTATTTAACCTACAGAGAAAAATCTACTGCTCCAAAGATACTGCTTTCAAATCCAAATTTACTCATTCCACACTTCCTCTTCACTCAAACCAACTGTTTGCCTTGAAGTGGATAGAATTGGTAGGAAGTCCCCTTTCTGCACCTGCCCATCCAGCTGCCTTTCATTAACGTGAGTCCCGCACCCGTAAAACACCAGATGAGTTCCCCTACACCCTTGTGTCCCCACCGAGAGGGGTCCAAATATCTCCCAATCAAGTCTGTCCCCTTCCACCTCCTCCAGCATCTCCGACCCCAAAGCCCAGCCTGCTCCCCAGCAACCTGTTTTTCCATCCATTAGATAAATGGTGTCCAAATAGTGGTCCGTAATAAGTTTTTCAAAACAGAATGGAAACAGAAATAGAGTAGAAATAGAAACAGAAAATAGAATATTTATAGTAGGCATACGTATTGTTTCATGAAACTTGTTTCAGATGCACATATACTTATGCTCTATGTCTCAATGTAAAAATGCATTTTGTACTGTGTTGTAATCCAAAAATGTTGGAAACACTGCTTTAGATAAGCCTTTGTCCATCTAGCCAGACTCCCCACTCCCTATTGGTCCCCCGGCGCAGCAGCTCCTTTCCTCATGCTGGCTCAAGCTCTGAACACACTTCTAGCTGTCTTCCTCAGCTGTTTTCACAAACCATGGCCTTTTACGATTCACAAGTTCCTTCTCATGTATCCACAGGATTGTCTTCTCCTTGAACAGACCAATGTTCTGAGCAAAAAAACATTCTTTGCTATTCCTGCCTTCTTTTCAGGTCTGGGATCTGAATGCAGCACATCCAGCTGTCTCACTGTGAATAACAAACCTCAGAGAAGCAGGACTCCATTCTTTCATCTCCAACAAGAAAAAACACCACCAAAGTCACTCTTGAAATACCTTAGATTTCCTTAGAAGACTAACTCACTTTCCTGATGTAATGCGTTCTCTAGTGTAATACGTCCAGTGCCTGATCCCAATGCCAGGTGAATACAGCTCACTCCTAATGCTGAGTCAAAGTCTGTTCCCAACCTTGAGAACAGATGGTTACTCCACCTCCATATTGCTTTCTTCTTCCTCTCACAAGGCAAATGGAAAGAGGGAAAGCACAACAAGACAACTGTATGAGCTTGGTGGCATCCTGTCCTCTCTCAAGGAGGGGGGCACAAGCTGTCCAGCACAACTGTACCCCCAGTACTGCCCTTCCTTGTCCAATTGCCCACAGTTCTCACCCAGGCAATTAATTCATTATCTTCCTCTAGAAAAAAACCAGTTTTCTGTATTTTCCTGTAGACTGTTCAGTTTACTTTTCTCAGCTAAACTGAGTATCCCACTTTTCAACCTTCCAAGAGATACTGAAGCTAAATCAATCCTTAATCTGTAGAATATGGGACATTAATTTGAGGAGGGTGCAGGGAGGCACTGAGATCTGAAGGTTTCTCATGAAGTAAACTGTTCAGTTTCCTCTCATACTTGGAAGGCCAGCTCTGAGGGAGGAATATAAACACTGGGCCTCCTTTAAAGCACCAAGGGAGGCAAGTGAACAAGTCTGAGAACTGCAGGATAGCTATACCAGGCTTTGAGGGGCAAGACACACTCTCAAAGGGAAAGGGGGAGAAGGGGAGGTTACATCTAGGGCACATTCCAGAATTTGCCTTGCAGCTCCACCACTCCCTTTCTGCCACCCGGCCCTTTTCCCATTTCCCAGTGGGGAAGCCAGGGGTCCTTTACCACCCTCTCCGGTCATCCAGTTATTTGGAGGGCCCTCAGTCCCTTCCAAGTCGCCACTTCCTCCTCTCCACTCCTTTGCTGGAAATGCCCATAATCGTAGGACTGAGTTAGATTTCTGATAGCTCACTGCTCCCAAAGCCTCCGTTTACTTTGGTAATCAAATGACTCTCTCACCAATGGAGATTTCAGAAAATGAAGGAAAAGATAGACCAACGCTGCCTCCACACTCCAGGGTCTGTTCAGAAGACCCAGCTTCTTTGGAGTTTGCCAGATGTGTCAGCCCCTTGACCACTGCCATTCCTAGGCACCTCCAAGTATACAGCTTTATTCTTTCCAACGAGGTAGAGAAGACTTAGCATGAAAGGAAGAGGAACAGAAAGCTAATAGTGTAAATAATTATGACGGCCTGAGCAGCTGAGTGTGAGACAGGTAGACAGGTCAAACTCATGCAAGAATACACAGTAAGAATTCGATCCCTGGAGGTAGGTAAGGTGGCAAAAGGGGCTGCCGAAGTAAGAAAGAAAGAAGCACCTTCAAATGTATTACCCTCAGGATCACCTGGTGCCACAGGAGGGAGGATGGCAAACAAACTAAAATCCATGGTCCCTCAAGCCATTCTTTCCAATTTCCCAGCGTTGCAGGAGTACACTTTTCTAATTCAGTTTCACCCAGACAATTTAAGGAAAAGATAAACAAGGGAAAAAATTCTCTACTTCATCTATAGCACGGCTAAAAGGGAACTGGGATTCTCTATGTCTTACCTTAACTGGCTACACAAAGATGAAGCTGCATTCCAACCTATACCACATGCTCACAGAGCAGCATCTCACTTAAAACACACACACAATCCAAGATCCATCTTTCTCAACTCCATTTATGACTGAGCAAAGATTTTACTAAAATGACAGCTTTTTTCCTACTTCACACATCAACTCCTAACGTCCACACAAACTCTTCCATCTTGTCCCCAAACTGGTATTGGATTCATTTAAATATTTTGTCAAAGATCACACTTTAAGAACTTTATAAGTTCATATAAAAATGTGCACCACATTAACACTGAGATGTGTACAACTAAGACAAAACTGGCCAGCAACAGTGGCCAGTTTAATGACCCCTTTAACGAACTTAACTCAAAATGTTTTCACAGCGGTTTTCCTCCCGTCTTGGGGCGCTAGGAAAATGCTAGCATTACAGATGCCATTTCACGGCTGGGTAAACCGAGGCACTTCATTTCATCAACCTGCCCGGGGTTACAATGGGAGAGCTGGAAATAGAAACCAATTTCTCCCTCTTGACTCTGCGCCCAATCCCTCTCCCACCAGACTCTTCAGCCACTCGGTGGCTAAAAATGGGACCCACTTGAGAATTGCAAGGATAAATAAAAGCTTCTCGTTTTATTTAGTAACGGGGAGGTGGGAGGGGGGAGACTTACCCACTTGATGCACCTGATTGCGTACCGGCCTCTAACAAGCAAGCTTCCCCCAGATGCCAAAGCACCCCGCCCTGTGAGCCGAGACCCGGAGGCAGCCACGGAACCGCGAGCGGGACGCGGGGCGTCTGGGCTGCGCGGGGCTGCGGGCCGGGACACCCTCTGCGCCCCGAGCGGCGCCGCAGCCCGCGGGCTGGGAGGATGCTGCTCCGGCCGCGCACACCTGCTGCAGCCCGCGGCGGAGCCCCCTCCGGCTCGCGCGCTCGGGACGCCCACCCCGCCTCCGGGCGCCGCAGGGAGCCTCGGCCGCGCTAGGCCGGGGGAGGGCAGCAGGGCGCCCCTGCCTCCAGGCTGAGCTCGGCGGCGCGGGGGCGCCGCGGGGCAAGGCGAGCCCGCCCTTCTCCCCGAACCCACTCCAAACAGCGTCACCTGTGCCGGGTCCCGGGGCGACTCGCGCGCGGGCGACGGCTGCGTCGGGCCGGGAGAGGCGGCGGGTGGTTACGGGCGCCTGCTCATCCGGCCCGGCCCAAGGGCTGGCGCCGGCCAGAGCCGCCCCGCGGATGCTCAGCGGGAGCCAGGGGAGCCGCGGGCTCCGAGCCGCTTGGAGGAGCCGTCACGGAGGCTCCAGCTACCGCCGCGCCCGCAGCGCCCGCCGCGCCCGCCGGACTGCGGGCTCGGGTTACCGCAGAGCGGCTCCTTAAAGGGGCCGCGGCCGCTCGGGCTCCGGCGTCGGCTCCCGCTCCGGCTCCCGGCGGCTCAGACCCCCGGCCAAAGTGGGCGGGGCCCAGGGGCCGGCTGTTGGGCCGACTTTCGGGTGCTGGAATTTGGGTCCCGGAAAGGGCTCAAAAACGGGAACACCCGAGGCGGGCTGCGGTGGAATGCTGGAAGAGCACACCTCACCAGGGACAGACCGTGCTGTCCTTCGGCTTTCCAAAGCAAGTAACAAAACTAGCAAGTGGGGAGAAAGGTCTGAGTCCGCTTCCTTAGCGGTCCATACCTGGGCTCGCCACGTAACCAGAATTCTTTTCAGATTATGAGTTTACCTTCTGCCTTATATGCCCCAATTCTGCCTAAATGAAGCGCACGGTTTGATCATCAGAAAGGAGATGAAAGGGCAGTTGCTGAATTTCCCTGCCACGTTTGACTTGAAGAAAGCCAAGTCCCGCCCCGTTCTTGATTGGGGCTACAGGTGCCTTCCAAGCCGGGTAGGAGACGTTAGCAGAAGAGGCAGGTTCTCTCGGAGCGGCGTCCTCCGGAATCCCTGAAAAGCCCCCCAGGAGTGCACCAGCACCCCACCTACACCCGGAGCCCTCCTGCTGTCAGGGTGGGGAAGTAGGATTTGAATTTTTGGTGCTGGCTGAGAATTCCAAGTTGCCCAGTGCATAAAGTTTGCCATTAAATACTAGCTCTTCTGACCTGCTAAATGTAGCCTCAAAAACTTCTGAGTGTTCTGGATCAACAAGATGGCATTGTTTTGAATAAAACAGAATAACGAAGAGGTACATTTAGGCTGTTATAATTTGCAAAAAGCAGCCACAAATCCTTTCTTTTGGAAAGAGGTAAGATCTAAAGTAAGTATTAATTAGTAAACACCACCAGTAATAAGGTAGGGCAGTTACTTGTAAGAAATGTCTATCAATAGAGCTAATAAATTTTACCTACTACATACGTGCACACAAACACACACTTTAACTGAACTTTACTGAGGCTCAATTTCTTCATCTGTAAAATGGGGATAATAATTCACAGTCACCTTTGAAGACCACAGTCTTAGCAAATGGGCCTCAGAAAAGACAAAAACTATTCCAGCCTGCAGGGGCAGAGACCTGCCCACCTTCACCAGGGAGGAAGGTCCTGCAGGCCTCCAAGTGCATGTTCCCTTTTTTCTCCTAAAGACTCCTAAAGGCATATCAGGGCACCAGTGCCCTTTGGCCACAACTCCCATGGTAGTTGCTTCACAATATGGGTAGTCCTCATTAACAGCTTTGGTTTGCCTCATACCTGCCTTATGCACTCACGTAGCTATTTTGTAACGCCCTATGGGCAGAAAGGTTGTATGTGCACATCTGTGGGATCAACTCTGCAAAAGAACAGACTGAATGTGTTATCTTGGGACTCTGCGTCAAGACTACCTCCTCCAGACTCTCCTATGCTTATCTCCAGTGGTTGACGGTTACTTTGTTCTTTCCTGAGAAATGTACCATCATTATCTTTGGTATGCATATTCTCTAACACCCACTGCAGTAGCCAACTGCCAAGTAAATTCACAGAGATCCACCATACTCTAAGCCCCACTATATTCCTTCAAGTAAGGCCTCTACAAATGCATCATGAAAGCTGCAAGATTGTTTTGATATTATATGGAGCATTTAAGTGAATATATCAAGGACAAGGCCTGAGAGATGAAAGGAATTCAGTAAATATTAGTTGAATTTTGAAACTTTTAAACTAACCAAAACTCAATGACCTTAGGAGGTAGAAGAATATATCAACTGCGTATTTTTTCTCAAAATTTTAATTCAGGTTAATTTCTTTAAAAATATCCATTTCATTATTCACATTTAAGTTTTTAATTATTCTTGGGCCAGCCCCGGTGGTCTAGTGGTTAAGTTCGGCCCTCTCTGCTTCAGGGGCACAGTCTGGTTCCCAAACATGGACCTACACCACTCCTCAGCAGCGATGCTTTGGTAGTGGCTCACATACAAAAGAAGAGGAAAATTGGCAACAGATGTTAGCTCAGGGAGAATCTTCCTCAGCAAAAAAAAAAACAAAAACAAAAACAAAAAATTTAATTATTCTTAACATTGTTTACCAATACTCCCTTTCCAAGGACAGTTCTCCCAAATTCTGTATTTACTATCTGAAGTTTTTCTGCATTTAAAATGTGAGGTATCAACACAGAATTACACTTTTCATATTTTTGTTCATTGAAAGAATTCAAAGAAACTCTTCAGAGAAATGAAATTATTCATCCATACTTAAGAGAAAAGATTACAAAAATTCTTTTGAGACAAATTGTCCTGATGAATTTCTGTTTCCAAAACTTCCTAAACTTCTAAATAGAGCCAGTTGTTTGGAAAACTGAGACAAAAAGCTGCTTCTTTCTAAAATGACAAGATAAAGTATTTTGGAAAACTGTCTCAATTCTCCATTCTGCCCCGTTAGTGAAGATATAACCAAAATGACACCAAACATTTTGATCAGAAAGGTTGACTTAGTCAAAAATGAATAACCCTAGACACTGCTTCCTCCTTTATTGGTAGTTTTAGTGTATCAAGAATTTTTTGTAAGGTTTTGGGAGGATTTAAAAGTACTTTCATTTGTTTTTCAGAATTTTTCAAGAAGAAGCTATTTCAGGATGTTAACAATGATTATCTCTGGGTGGAGGAGATTCTATATATTTGTGTTCTTTTTGCTTGTCTTATGTGATTTTTCTCCTATAATACATATATATTACTTTTGTTGGATCTTTATTTTTAATGAAAGTAATACATGTAAGTGAAAATTCAAATGGTTTTTAAAGGCTTATAACAAAAAAATATCCATGAGTGCCATCAGTCCCCTGACCGACTTCTCCCCACCTAGCTTCACCCCAAGTTCCATACAACCATGCTAGATGGTCTTCATTTCCTAGCTGATATGCTTATACCAATGTTTCTGCATTTTCAGTTTTAGACATTATTTGTTGACTTCTTGTCATGGTATTTGAGGATTTAGCTCTTTTACACACACCACCACCACTACTTCGACCTCACCCTTCTTTCTAACACAGCCACATCACAAGTTTCATTCAAATCAACAATTAGGGTTTAGAGGGGCTGGCCCCATGGCCGAGTGGTTAAGTTTGCGCGCTCCCCTATAGGCGGCCCAGAGTTTCGTTGGTTCGAATCCTGGGCACGGACATGGCACTGCTCGTCGGGCCATGCTGAGGCAGCGTCCCACAGGCCACAACTAGAAGGACCCACAACGAAGAATATACAACTATGTACTGGGGAGCTTTGGGGAGAAAAAGGAAACAAAAAATCTTTAAAAAAAAATAAAATAAAAAAATAATTAGGGTTTATATCATCCTGACAATGTAAATATAGTACATTGCTGAATCAAGTAAGGTGCCATGATAATGCTTTTCTAGAAAATCTCCTGTACTCCCTTGAGTTAATAATTGCCTTGCTTTTTCACCTTTTTAAAAATAGATCTAAGATGAATTTTATCCAAATGCTTCAACATATCTGTGAAATGCCCATCAATACTATCTTGCAATGCCCAAACACATGATTTTTAGTTTACTCTCTTATTTTGCTAAAGCACAGACTCTAATAGCTTACTCAGAGAGGGTGCATAGAAGGTAAATTTTTAGAGTGCTTGCATGTGTGAAAACGTCTTTGTTCTATTCTCATTCTTGATTGATAATTTGGATAAGTTGAAATCATTTTCCCTCAGCACTTTAAAAGGATTGTTCCACTGTCTTTTAGTTCCAGTGTTGCCACTGAAATGTCTAATGTCTTTCTAGTTCCCATTCCTCTGTAACTGACCTGTTTTTCTTTCTAGAATCTTCCCATTATCTCTAGTGATGATGAAAGTTCACAATGATGTACCTTCCAATGGATCTGTTTTCATTGATTCTGCTGGAAACTCAGCAATTCTTTCAATGTTATCTGCAAATTTTTTCTTTTATTATTTCTTTGCTAATTTCCTCCCTCCCCTTTTCTCAGTCTCTCTTTATGAATTCTCGTAGTAGGATGTTGAAACTTCTATATTATTCTCTAGACATATTGTCCTTTTATCCTATTGATCATCTCTGCATCTTTCTTTTCTATTGTCTGAGACAGAGGTTCTCAATTGAGTCTCCCCACCCCAGCCATTGGGCAACGTCTGGTGATATTTTTGGTTGTCACCACAGGGAAAGGGAGCATGCAACTGGTATCTAGTGAGTAGAGGCCAGAGATGCTGCTAACCATCTTACAATGCACAGGACAATCTCCCACCGAAAAGAATTTCCAGCCCCAAGTGTCAATCGTGCCAAGACTGTGAAATCTTGGACCAGGAGAATTACTTAACTTTATCTTACAATCTCCACTGAAGTTTCTATTTCAAACATATTTTTCTTTCCCACCGTCTGACTATTTTGTTATAGGAATTCTCCATCAAAAAATAAACTCGTTTCTCTAGAGAAACTTCATACTTCATAGAGGGATCATGTTGGTGGTGGTACGGTAGGGGTGGAACGAGTGAGCACAGGCTGGCTGTATGAGGTGGGGAAGGGACCCAGTGGTCTAGAGGTTTGTAACAAATTTAGGGCAATCTCCCTTCTTCAGGCTTATGCCTCACCCCTGCCTTCCATGGCTTCCTGCAACTGCAAGTGCAAAGTCTCCTCGAAGCATTTCCCTTACTCCCTCTTCCACTTTGCTAACTCAATTATCTCTACCCCATCCAACTTCTGGCTTTCAAAATTTATTGAAATCTCTCATCTGCTGTAGACTTTTCTCCTGTTTTCTTTTCCCTTGTGGCTTATATCTTGTAAACCCCTTTCTACGCTATTATTTTAGCGCAACTTTTCAAAGACTAAGTGACAAAAAACTTTTAAATAACAGAAAGGGATCCAGAACAGGGGAAGGGGAAGAACATGGATCTATTTTTTTTTAATTGCTAACTCATTTTTTAATTATGCCAAAATATTTTCATGAATTTTTTAAAATTTTACAAATTAGTTGAAATTGATGTTACCAATGACTAGTTTATATGTTTATAACTTTTAG